TAAGGAGAGAGAACGCTATCTAGAAAGAGAATAGACTGAGGTCAAGATCATGACAAATTAATGTAGGTTTCTAAGCATTGCAAAAGAGGAAGGTGCTATGCTTTGTTATTTTTAACACTGCATTAACTTGTCATATATATGTATATATAACCTCTTTGTAGAAACAACAAATAAGCACATGAACAAATGTTCAACCTCACTGGTCGTTCAAGAGATGCAAATTAAAACAAAGCTGAGATTCCATTTCACTCCAGAAAGAATGGCTCTTATCAAGAAATCGGCCAACAATAAATCCTGGCAGGGATGTGGGGTAAAAGGAACCCTTCTCCACTGTTGATGGGAGTGTAGACTGGTGCAACTACTGTGGAAATCAGTGTAGAGATTCCTCAAAAAATCAGGATTAGAGGTTCCATTTGATTCAGCTATTCCCCTTCTGGGTATCTTCCCAAAAGAATTAAAAGCATCATACTACAGTGATATATGCACACTCATGTTTACAGCAGCGCAGTTTGCAATAGCTGAATCTTGGAAACAATTCAAATGCCCATCGACTGATGAATGGATTAAAAAAGATGTGATTTTTTAAAACAATGGAGTACTATTCAGCCATAAAGAAAGATAAACTTGAGACATTTCTAGGTAAATGGATGTGCCTTGAGAACATACTCTTAAGTGAAATAAATTGAACACACATGTGTAAATATTGCATTGTCTCTCTAGTGTGAGAAACTGAAAGCAAAAGTAAGGACCAATAGGCCGGGGACTTAGCTCAGTGGTGCCACAGCCTGCCCTGCAAGCGCAAGGACCCGAGTTTGAGCCCCAGTACCAAAAAAAAAAAGGACCAAAAAGAATAATAAATATTGTAAAATAGGAAGAAATTGTTCAAAATCATACAGAATGTGATACTTTGTCAATATTTGAAGTGTTTTATACAAAAAAGGTATGGTATTATTAGGAAACGAGCTGAGAGATAGATTAGCAAATGAAAGTATATTAAGATCGTGATACACAGTGTATTTATCATGGTTATTCTCTAATAATTTTTCTTATGGAAAATTATATTTTTGTGGGATGGCTTTTATATTTTCTTTGTTAATATCTACTTATAATACAATAAAATAAAATTTAAAAACATAACCACTTTATAATCACATATTATTCATGAGACTTTACCTGTGTGTTTTTAAAGCACTGTTGGGGATGTATATACAGCTCAGTGGTAGAGTGCATGCACATGCTCAAAGCCCCGGGTTTTATCCCAAGCACCTTAAAAATGTTTTTAAAAGAAAAATATATGAAATACTACTAATACCACTATAAGTTACACTTTTTTAAATCCATAAAGATTTTAGAAAGGAGAACACTTTTCAGAATAGAGATCTATTTTACAAAGTTAAATCTATGTAAAGATCCTGAAGCATCAGTTAAAATACCAAACTATTACTGTACAGTAAATTGATATTACTATGACACTAGAACAACTGTAAGGCCTACTACTCAAGCTGGCCATTGGAACAACCCCACACTTGACCTGCTGAATCCATCTATATTGGTTAACAAGACACTCAGATGATTCACATAAATATTAAAATTTAAAGAACCAATGCCCTAAGGCATAATTCTCATTCCTAAAATGTACACACAGCATTTCTTTGTATTTATTTGCATTAGAAATGACTGACATATTTGAATGAAGATCTAGAAAATTCAATGTTTTTGAAAAATTTATTTCTATTTATGTATTTACTTATGTACAAATCCAATAAACTACTCAACTACTTTGGTAGATAACTGATGCATATCAATGTAATGGAGTAAAAACAAATTTATTTCTCCCTAACCTTATGGCAGGGTAATCCAAATTATGCATTTGAGAAACCAAGAGCATATGTTATAATTTAAAATTTAAAAATCACCACATTTTGAAGAATTTTCTCTTTATTTTAACAACTTTCAAATGATTCAATTAGTAATTTTCTATCCTAAACAACTTAGGTCAGAATTTTCATAATTTATGTTATAAACTACTTACATCATAGAAGTCATAGAAATTTCTTCTAAACTCTGATTTTCCAATGTAGTCAGACTCTGTTTTGCTAAAATAAGTAAAATCTTACATTAGATGTATACACACACATAGACCTGGCTGTGGAAAATTGTAAGCTGTTTAAACCTTGTAAGTATAAAGATTGTTTTATCTTTTAAAACACGGGAATATAGAATGTTATACCTTAAATGGGCTTTTGATATTTTCAAATGGATCAATTCCACAGGATATCTGGGTTTGAAAATTAATCTAATATACAGTAATGCCTTAGTCCTTCAGAGTACTCTGAACACGGGGTAGGTGCCTGAGAATCCTAGAACCATTCCATGTAGAATATCAAAATGGTAGACTTACTAAAGCAGAAAACAAGCTTAGTATTATTACCTATTGATAGTTCAAAATTCTGTGGTAAACTTGGAATAGTTTTCAAATACCTTACACCAAATATTTACTTACTTAAATACTTCTTTAAATCTGGCCATTTAGGATAAGCAACTATAAAACAGGGCAATATAACCTTTAATAATTTTTAGTTCAATCAAAATTGTAAACAAATATGTTATTTTAATAAAATGTGTACTTTTACTTTCAAAATATTAGAATTATTTGGAAATTAAAAATTAAAATTTCTTATAGCTTAAAGGCAATTGAACCATATACTTAGCACTAAAATCTACAATAAAAATCATCACAATTTGACGTATTTTCCTTACTTTCTTCTTGTATTTATTATAGAAAGTTAATTTTATATAAAGGTGACATTATTTTGTGAAGTTATTCTGCAAAATTATTGCTTTTGAAGAAAATTTTGTCTACTGAAAATATGATATACAGGGAATCTAGACTCTGTTTTCAACTGTTCTTTGTTCCTGGTTTTATTTGTTTGTTTTGGGAACTGGAATCTTGCTATGTTGCACAGGCTGGCCCTACATCCCTAGGCTCAAGTAATTCTTCTGCCTTGACCTCCCTAATAGCAGGACTATAGGTCCAGGCCATCATGTCTAACTAAGAGAACTTACTTTGAATACCCCCACAGAGTTTATTTTTCTACACTTGGGCACACAGCCACAAGCTATTGAATGTTGATTTTTTAAAAAAGGATAAAAAGGATGCTGTGATGATGAAAGAGGTGGAGAAAAGAAATCCAAGACTTAAATTTTTTTCATTCAACTTTATCCAAGTGTGCATCGATAATATACATTTAATATTCCATTTATTTTTAAGCACATCGTTTAATCAATTATGATAGATCTGTGACCAATACAAACCTTTTTGAATTCTTCAAAAATTTCAGTTAGAAAAGTCATTAAACTGGCATTCTATAAAGATAATTATAAAACAAAAGGTAATGCATTTTTACTCCTTATTTCCATTCTAACATATCCAACATCATTTCTTTCTTGTGCCATACAATCATAAAAATTAACAGAAATAGTTGTGTATTAAATTTTTAGGGGCCAATAAAAATATTTTAGTTTGATTATTTAACCCTCAACAAATCATAAACCCTTCAAATAATGATAATTATTCTTAATTCAATAACTCATGAAGTAAATATATAATAACCATAAAACATTTGGAATAAATTTTACACTTAAAAACTACTAAAAGAAATACATCAGAACCTTAGTAGAATGTTGTCATTGGAGACTGTTCTGTGAAACTGCTTTAGAAGTAGTGTAGCCTTTTGGCACAATAATAAATGAACTAACATGGAATGAAACTCTGATGAATCCATTTTAAATGAACTTTTTGCAGAAAAGAATGCTATGGTTAGGTTCTGATGTACTTTCTGTTTAAAGTACTAATTAACTGGCAAGTAAAATCCAATAAGAGAACAGCCAACAATTTCACCACTATTTCAGTGATGTGAAACAAAATAATACTAGATTGATTAATAAGAGGAATTCTACAGCATAACTATGAAAGAAGTATGAATGAGTCCTATTGTTTTTAATGGTTTCTTAATTTGTAACACTGTCAAAATTCTAAAATAAAAACTCAGCAACTAAGGTACTAACTTGGCATTTCTTAGGTATATTATCCAAGTTTTCACTAGGAATTATGTCAATGAGGTTCTTTTTTATCCAACTGAAAAATAACTAGCTCAAATATTTAAAGTAATAAATCACCAATAATTTAATTCTTAAACCTTATAGTCATAAGAAGCTTTAATTCTTTAAAAACTCCAATTTGACCCTTGGGGAATGTAAAGAACACATCTGTATTCTAAAGCCAAAATTCAATTGTATGGCTTCATGCTAAGTGCTCAAAAAAAGTAGAGTTGTTTCTAAACTAACTCTTACTATATCATTTGGCACACTAGTTATCACCTTTTATATATACCATTTAAAATACCCAGCCCAGCATTTTTAATAAGTTGCATCCTTATTAAGAGGTAACAAGTGCAAATGATCACATATTTAAGATATGATACTTGCTTGGCTACTACAAAAGTAATTATTAAGGTTCTTCTATAGGAAGCTGAGTTATCCATTACAGTAATGTTCTTGAAAAATTCCTGTACTACTACCAACATAAAATCATCCATCTCTAAATTAAACAAGAACTTTATATAACATAGTATCTCATGAAAATATTTATGAAACAGTCTGTATTTAATTCAATACCAAGTTATTTGAGGATCATAGGTACACCGTATCCACAAATGGCCATTTTAATAAAAACCTATTCCTCCATGGCTGCTCTCTGAATATAAGTTAAAGCAGCCCTGATGTAATGTTCCTGAAAGTCAAGATATGAACCTACACTTTAGTTTTATCAAAATGTCCTTGATAATGAGTACTTTACTAGTTCTCAAAAATCTTACTGTTTTGTGTAACATTTTCAATACAGAAATAAAATACTCTTCAAATAATACATTTTAAAAGATGATTAATCTTTGCAAAATTAAATAGCATAAATTAAGCATATTAACATTGGGGTTTTTTTGACAACATGAAATAACCAATTTAAGGAGAATTGCAATGGACTAAAAAATTACAAATGTCACAATGTGAGGTACACTTAAATCCTCACATATTACTGACTTTACAAAATCTACTAAAATATTTTAAAGTTCCCATCGACTCTATTAATACATAAAAAGAAATTGTAAAAATGCTTAAGACTATGTAAGATTTATCAATTACACAGGCACTTCACATGTAAACAATCTACAGTACAACTAAAAATATTTTGGCACTAACCTATTATACTAAAAGAATATAATGCCAGAGTTCTGTTTCTTCTACTCATTTTTTCTAGAAAACTAAGACCAAAGATTGAAGAAATTGTGTGTAAAGTAGAATTAGAAGTGTATTAAATAACGCAAATATAGAATTATTTTAAATCGTGAAAAAATGATTACCTTTAACCAGCTGTTTACTAGAATGTTATGTTTTTAAAAAATCAAACTTAAGGTGATTATTAAATTAAAAGTATATTTTTAATTTAGTATGAATCTGCTTTTTGAAAAATAAGGTTATGAAATAAATTTGCAAAAAGAGAATTTGAATTTATCAAAAACTCTCATTAAATTAATCCAGGTCCCCCCAAAAGAAGTTTGGACAATTCAAAGTTTAAGTCTGATGTTTTAATGTAATTTTTTAAAAACCCTAAGGCAAACTATTTTTGACTGAACATTCTTATTCATGAACTTGATATATCTGAAATCACTTCAAGTAAATGAAACTGTACACATATGACTTAAAAAATGTTATATCAAGCCATAGACAGCTGAGATGTCTTGGTTGTAGGTAATTCAAGGAGCGCCTGTACAGTAACACCAACTTTCACAAGGCCTCGTTCTTCCAAAATATGATGAGGCAAACAGAGTCGTTCCTGGGGGAGAAAAAAAGGTATTTGAACATTCATTTTTAGTAGTGTAGTAAAACTTTAGTAAGAATCAGATTTTTGAAACATGCTTTCTGTTACACTTCAAGTAAAAAACACAGTTCTAAGTTTTTTCTTGTAACTATCATAAACTAAAATGTGCTTAGATTCTTAACTTACGCTAAGAAAACAGGATAGAAGTTGGTTACAGTAGACGTACAACTATTATTATACTTAAGGGTGAAATACTAAAATTTTCCTAAAAAAAAAATCAGGACTAAGACAAAGATATCTACTCTTGTCACCCCTACTCAACATTATACTTAGATATCTGGCAAGGGCAACTAGGCACAAAAAAGAAATAGAAAACATTCAAATCAGAGAGAAAGGAAAAAGCTGTTTCTAATTACAGAAAACATGAACATCCATGTAGAATATTCTATGAAATCTGCAAAAAGCTACTAGAACTAATAAGTTTACCAAGAATGTAAGATATAGATCAAGATCTAAACACTAATTGTATTTCTATATATTAGAAACAAAGCAGTAGATATTAAATTAAAATTAAGCACAAATACAACATGCAAAATATAAAAATATGAAATACTTAAGGATAAATATGCAAAATTTGTATAGTGAAAACTAAAACATTGCTCAGGTAATTAAAGAAGACCAAGTAAGAATATATTTTGTTTTTAGAAGGGAAGATCCAGTATTAAGAGCTAATGCTAGCTATATTTTCTATAATCTCAGTTGCATTTCTACAATGATATAATGAGTTTTTTCTTTTTCTGTAGATGATGATAAATTACAATTATATGGAAATGCAAAGGACCCAGAATAGCCAAAAGAGCTTTAAGGAATGACAAATTTAGAGCTGCTACTACTTAATTTCAAAATTTATAGTAAGCGAAACAGTGTTTTACCAATGTAAAAATTGGAAAAAAAGTATTAGTGGAACAAAATAAAGAATACAGAAATAGACCTACAGATGTATGGACAAATGGTTATTGATGTGGATGCAAAGGCAGATAAATATTAAAAGAACATGTTCGTAAATGTTGGCTGGACATGGAGGCAGACAGCTATAATCTCAAGTAGGCAGGAGGCAGGAGGATAGCAAGTTTGAGGCCAACCTGGCCAATTTAGTGAGACCTTGTTTCAAAATTTTAAAAAAGGAGGTTGGGGAAGCTGGGTATATAGATCAGTGGCACAGCACCCTTGGGGTCAATCTCCAGTACATGAAACAACAGCAATAGCAACAATACCAACAAAAAATAGCTGTGGGAAAGATGATATCTATTACAAAAAAAAAAAAACCTTTGGAAAATTCTTCAAACTCAAAAAAAAGCTATTTCCAGAAAACCATAGTTGATATTATATTAAAAGATAAAAGACTAAATGCTTTCCTGAACATCAAGAGAAAGACAAGATGTCCACTGGCACTACTTCTATTCAAAATTTAATAATAGAGATTGTAGTCAGGATAATTAGGCAAGGAGTAATGAAAACCATCCAGACTGAAAAGAAAAAAGTAAAACTATATTTGTAGATAACATGATTTTGTAAAGAGAAAATTCTAAAGCATACAAACATAAAGGAACTATTAGAACTAATAAATGAGTTCAACAAGGTTACCAAATAAAAGATCAACAGAAGAAAATCAGTTGTATCTATATAGTAGCAATACAAAATTTGAAAGTTAAATTAAGGAAATATTTACAGTATTTTAAAAGAGAATAAAATATTAAGGACTTCACAAAAGCGGCAAAAATCACATAGGTTGAAAACTATAAAACATTGTTGAAATTAATATTTAAAAATGTAAATAATGGAAAGACATCTCATGTTCATGGATGTCAATATTCCCTAAATTTTTCTACAGATTCAGTGCTGTCTCTAACAAAATTCCAGCTGGCTGATTTGCAGAAACTGATCAAGCTAATATTAAAATTAATAGAAAAATGCAATAAAGTCCAAACAACCTTAAAATGTAAGAAAGCTGGAGGAAATGCAAAACATACTACATTGTCTGATTTCAAAACAGAATACAAAGCTACAGTAAGCAAAACAATGTGGTAACTGGTATCCAGACATCAACAGGAAAAAAACTGGGAGTCCAGAAATGAAGCCTTAAATTTATGGCGATTAATTTTTAGGACAAGGGTGCCAAGACAATTTAATAATAAAAAGTCTCATCAAAAAAAGGTGCTTGGAAGAGCTATGGATTTAGCTCAGTGGTGCCACCACCTGTCTCACAAGCACAAGGTCCCGAGCTCAATCCCCAGTACCAAAAAAAAAAAATGGTGCTTGGAAAACTAGATAGCCACATGCAAAAGAATGAATTTGGAACCCTACCTCACACCATACACAAAACTGAACGAAAAAAGGATCATAAGCCTAACTGTAAACACAAAACCCATAAAATGTTTAGAAGAAAATACAGGTATAAGTCTTTATAACCTTAGATTATGCAATGTTTTCTTAGATGTAACATCAAAATCATAAGCAACAGAAGAAAAAAAAGGTAAATAAACTACTTGGGGCCGGGGATTTAGCTCAGTGGTTCTGCTGCCTGCCTTGAAAGCGTAGGGTGTCCTGAGTTCGATCCCCGGTACCAGAAACAAAAAACAAACAAACAAAAAAAGGGTAAACTGCCTCATAACATTTTTGTGCTGTAATGATAAGGAATGTGGCTGGGAGTGTAGCTCAGTGGTACACCACTTGCCTAGCATGCATGAGGTCCTAGGTTCCATTCCCAGCACCACAATCAAACAAACAAACAACAAAAGAACCAAGAATGTGAAAAGACAATCCACAGGAGAAAATATTTGCATATCGTATACCTCAAAGGCACCTTGTACATGAAATTACATGTAAAGAACCCATGCAACTCCATAAAAAGATGAATACAGTAAGTTCTGACTTACAAACATTTCAATTGCTAACTTTCACAGATATGAACAGACCCTGAATTACAAACACGCCTAGATGCAAACAAATTGTGGAAGTAGCTCTCCTAGACGCAAACAAATTGTGGAAGTAGCTCAGGTGTCTGCAGGACATTGTCATAGTTGTGCTGCTATGTGCTTACTGTACAGTGGGACAGTGCTCAATCAGAGTCCATGATGTTCAGAAGCAAGAGGAAAAGCAGTGGTGATGTGGAGGGGACTGATAGGAAGCACAAAGATGTATGTTTGTGTCAAAGGTGTTTAAGACTCACTTCCTCAGACTTGGGAATGAATCTGACGTACAAACCTTCACCTGGAATGGAACTCATTCGTAAATCGGACACTTATTGTAATCTAATTAATAAATGCATACAGGATTTGAAAAAACATTTTCTCCCCAAATGAATACATATAGTCAATAAGCACATGAACAGATGTTCAACATCATTTGCTATTAAGAAAATGCAAATCAAAACCACTATGAGATACCACTTTTCACCTGATGGGATGGCTAGAATCAGAAAGGCAGACAGCAATCATTGTTCTAGAGGATGTGGAGAAATCAGAACCCTGACACACTGGTAATGGGAATATAAAATGCTGCAGCCTCTGTGGAAAACATTTTGGCAGTTCCTCAAAAAGATATGCTGAGTTACAATATGACCTAGCAATTCCACTCTTAAGTACATAACCAAGAGAACTAAAAACAACTGTTCAAATAAAATCTTATTCACAAATGTTCACAGCAGCATTATTCATAATAAACAATCAGTGGAAATAAACCAAATGTCTACCAAATGATAAATGGATAAACAAAACGTGGTATCTATATAAGATGGAATATCACTTAGCCATAATAAGAAATGAACTACAGATTTGTGCTACAACATGGATGAACCTTGGAAACAATATACTCGGTGAAAGAGCCCGACCCAAGACTACATATTATAGGACTTCATTATATGTAAGGTACAGAATAAGCAAATCCATGAAGACTGAATAGGGAAAGGACTGCCAATGGACAAGAGATTTCTTTCTAGGGTAACAAAAATATTCTGTTCTTAAAGATTATTCTGATTGTTGCCCAACTCTGTGACTATATTAAAAACCACTTAATTATACACTTTAAGTAAGTGAATATTATGAAATATTAATTATATTTCAATAAAGATGTTTGAAAAAAATCAATGCATGTGCCCAATCTCAGGCAAAAAACAAAACCAGAACTGTACCTTTTACTGTATACAAAAATTAACTCAAAATTGACAACAGAGATAGATGTAAAATCTAAGATAAAACTTCTAGAAATAAACACACGAAAATCTCTGTGACCTTGAGTTGTGCAAAGGTTCGACACAAAAGACAGTACATTAAAAAATGACAAATTATGTCAAAAATGTTAACTGCAGCTCTTTGAAAGACAATTTAAAAAGAATCAAAAGACAATCCAAAGACTGGGATGTAATATTTGTGAATCAAACACCTGATAAATTTATCCACAACTTATAAAGAAATCTCAAACTTAATCCTAAGAAAACAAATGACCCAATTAAAAAATAGACAGAAGATTAGAAAATTCACTTCAAAAAAGGAGATATGCAGATGGTGAGTAAGTCCTTGGGAAGAAGTAACCATTTGGAAAGATGATCAATGTCATTAATCAGCAGGGATATGCAAATTAAAGCTACTTTAGCAAGCCAATACAAACCTATTACAATAACTAAAAATTTTAAAAGACTGACTATACAGAACTAGTAAGGAGGTAGAGGAAATGAACTGTCATATACTACTGGTAGTAATTTGAAATAGTACAATTATTTGGGAAAAGAATTTTGTACTTTCTTAAAATGTTAGGCATGGATCTATTATACACTACAGTTTTTCCATAGCTAAGCATTTACTCAAAATTAAAGAATACATACATCCATACAAAGACTTGTGCAGAGCAGCTTTATTTTTAGTAGTCCCTGAAGCTGGAAACAACCTCTAAAGTGTCTATCAAAGGTCAACTGATCAATAAATTGTGGGATATTACACAGAAACAAAGGAATTACTATTTATACAGGTAACAACACAAACTGGTCTTAAAATAATTATGCCAAGTGAAAGTCAGAAAAAAAGTCAATTTTGATATTTCAGATATTACGCTACTAAGATTTCCATTAGACATTTTCAATAAAGCTTTGAAATGCTGTTAGTCTAATACAGCCTAATATACCAGTCAGTCTATCTATGAATTTACAAAGGAATCCAAATGTGGAATATTGTATCACTTTACTTCTATGAAACTCAAGTAAATGCAAACTAATCTATAATGACAGAAAGCAGATTAGTGGTTGCCTGAAGAAGGAAGAATTGCAGAAGGACAGTAAGAAACTATGGGGAATAATGGATATGTTCATTACTTTGATTGTGATGATTTCATAATATATGCATATATTAAAATTTATCGGGGGTAAAGATTACAGACCAGTGGTAGAGTGCTGGCCTAACAAGTATGAGGCCCTAGCTTTAAGCCCCAACACCCCCCCCCAAAATCCAAATTGTGCATTTTACAGTATGTCAATTATACCTAAATAAAGTTGTTACAAATTAGAAAAATCCTAGAACAAAAATAATTAAATAGAAAAGTACTGTATATATTACTACTTTTGAGTTTATGGAAAAACACATTGAAACTAAAAATAAAACTAAAATAGAAATGGCAAAACAAGTATAACATCAAAGTAGCTGGGAAAAAAACTTTCCCAAATTTTCTATTTATAGTACTACTTTAATCATTAGTTTTATAATACTGCAATTGTCATGTGCAACATAAGCCAATTCTTACAAATTTCAGAGTTTGTCAACTGCAGATATTACAATATGCTACTAAGATCTCCAATTTGACATTTTCGATAAAGTTTAAAATGCTGTTAGTCTGATGCACTCTCATCTTCCACTCAGTCTATCCACGAATTTACAAAGGAATTTAAATACCATCCTTCCAATAGAAAAAAATGATAGTAGTAATGGCATCACAGCTAAACTACAGTTATGGCTACTAATTTATGTTCAGTCAGCAATGTACACGATTGGTAAACTTTTCCATACAGGTAGCTATTTTAGAAATGAATTTAGAGCAGTCTTAAACATTTATTATATAGCTGCTGCAATTATCTACTGAAGCTTACTAGAGGGTACCAAGAGAAAGTATTCATTTTCATATTTGGAAAATATTATTCATCACTACTGCGAGCACTCTAGCTTTCATGTAACAAATTAATATTTAAATAACCATTTTGTTAGGTAAATAATTACCTGTGAGACACCCAGCTTTTTACAAGCATCAAGAAAATTTTCTACATTTCTTCGACATTTTGCCATGCTCAGCTTGGGCTGTAAAGTAAAAGTGGGAAAAGATTCATTTCAAGCATTTTTACACAAAAATTAATTAAAAATGAATTTATTGAAATGTATTACTTAACGTTTTAATAAGCTATATTTTCCTTTGGAGATGGACAAACTATAGACATAACTTACCACTGCTGGCGATGGTACATGAATACTAGCTACAGAGCGTGGCCTTATGTGATTGGCTAAATGGCAAAGAACAACACCATCCATCAGTGCAGCTCCAATGTCATCAGGCAAAATTACTTTTAACCTGGATTCAAGATTCTATAAAGAAACGAGTATAAATCATAAATACTCTATCTAAACATATGTCATATATTTATATTACTAATGTTATATTATCTAAAAATTGTAAAGAGCAATAAAAAGATACCATCATATCTTATCAGTTTTCCAAGGTAAAGCAAATTCTAGAAAGCTGATCTGAAAGGTCAATTTGACTTACATTGCGAAGTTGTCGTATTTGCTCTCGCTCTTCTCGTAAATGTTCCATCTTTCTTCTCATTGTAAATCCTGGATCTGTTGCCCCATATTCTAGGCGAGATGTGCGGCTAAAAGCTTTATAAAAACAGAAATTTTCTAGCTTGTTACAAAGTTAATAAAAGGAAAAGGCACTGATGGGGAAAGAGGAATGATAGAATCAGTACAAATTACATAAAACACTAATACTTATTAATAGAGTCTAAATATTTTTTCTAATATATGCTTGAATTTTACATAATTGAAAGCAACAGGGAACACAAGGGTAATGATTTCTACCACCTACACATGTTTCTAGTTAAACGTATCGTATTAGAAACTCATGATCCAGGTACAAAGTGATTATTGAACATGTCAGCCGTTTATTTTAAAGAAAAAAATTATTCTTTGAAGGTCAATATAGTTATTTGGGAATAAAAACTATAATTCAATATCTTGCCAAGGAACATGGATCCATTTTCCTTTGGGCTTGCCAAATGTGAAAAGATACCTTTTTAAAACCATAAAATAATGGAGATCTATAATTTCAAACAGTGTTTGGTCTGCTGGCAGAGTGGTCATTCTAACAGCAGTCACAGAAGAATAAAAGTAAGACTTCAGTATATCTAAGGCAAAAAGCTGAGGTTTTAGGAGCTTGAAGGTAAAGAGGAAGAAAGAAATGGAAATGGGAATTGGAAAGGCAAGGTTAATGGAAAGTTACTTTTAGGAGACGGAAAAGAAACTATGTGTACTTAAAAACCGTGAAATCAATGGCATTTAAGCTGGGAAATTCCAGTTTTAAACAAAAATAAATTTTATGCAAAAATACGTATTTACCTGATCTAGGCTTTAATCCAAAGGGACCATGTGAAAAACCATCAGTTCTGTCATATTCCTAAAAACAGAAAATAAATCTCTTCTTTCAAAATAATCAAGGTATATATTCATATCCATCCCAATTTCGAGAATTACTTTTTTTCTACAATCAGTGGAAAAGAGAAAGGCAACTGCATTTCAATTCAAATTGATAACATGTCACTTTTAAAAAGTCAATACATAGCCAGTTGTGGTGGCACAGGCCTTTAATTCCAGCACTTGGGAAGCTGAGGCAGATCGCCATGAGTTCAAGGCCAGCCTGGGGTACATAAGGAGACCTTGTCTTTAAAAAAGAAAAGTTAATAAATATTTGATAATTGGCTAGACTATGCCTTTAAATAATTCTCTCTCATAGTATGAGGAAAATGAAAAATCATTACCGAAATATATAAAATAGATTTAAAAAAAAAGATTAAAGTCTCCAAAGTAATGAAGTATAGTACACTGTACTTAAAGATTCATAAATTTACTAACACTTCGTATCCACTATTTTTATTCTTAGATAATTTTTATTCTTAGATAATCCAAGGTCAATCTACATATTTATATTAAAAGGGGTTATAGAATAACAAACCATGATATATTATTATCTTCTATGTGAATGCACATTGCTTTAAAGTGCTTTCCCACATAGTGGTGTGCTATGGAAGGTTATGTGTCATTTGAAACAAACCTTAAGAGTCAGAAAGCTTAGGCTCTATCTTGAGCACATTTACTTTTTCTGCAATTGATTCTTCACCTTTCAAATGGGATTACTGTGAACATCAAATGAAGTAATTAAATGAAAGTTCTTCATGAACTATAAAGTGATAAAATAATGTAATCCCAGCAGCATCTTATTTCATCTGTGAAACAACTCTATTAAATAGGTAGGACCTAGGCTGTAGTCATTTCTCTGTTGCTATTTGTTGACTGGGCTCTTTGGGAAAGTTATCTGCTGCTTCAGTTGTAAAATTATGAAGATGAAACTTAGTCATGGGATGACTTTTAGGTACAAATCTAAGGGCAAGCAAATTGGTAAAGTACTACACTAATTGGTTTTACCATTTTTCACATCAAATTGAAGCAATCAGAATTCTGGAGCATCTGAATCTTCTACTGCTAAAGTTCAAATTGGATGCTAGTTGAACTACAAATACACATGCTCATCACCCTATCCACTCACAGCCTTACAGTTTGTTTTCTTTTTTTTTTGTTACCGGGGATCGAACTCGGGTCCCTGTGCTTGCGAAGCAGGCAGCAAAGCCACTGAGCTAAATCCCTGGCCCCAGTTTGTTTTCATATTTTGGTTAAATAGTTACAAATTTCTATACAAAAAATTTACTTATCTGAATGCAAGCAAAAATATAAAGCAACATACATTATCTAAGAAAATTGGCACTAATACTTTCCTCTGTAAATACAGACTGTAAAATAATAAAAGAACTAGGCAAACAAGTAGTAGTCACTTATGTATTTATACTTGTTATAATTTAAAGGATTTACAGAAACGTGACCAGGATTAATTTTACGATATCCTAATTTAACTATTTTCTAAAAGCATATATAATATTTTACCCTCCAGGTAACTAATTTAGAAAACTCATGCCCAACAAATCTATATAAATGTTTTATAAAGCAAATCACAAAACAATAGAGAAAGAATCCTGACTTTCTAAGAAAGTAATGACATTTAAAATACATTAAAATATTATCTACATAACCTAAGTTATACAGTGAATTTGGGTCATCTAAACATTTAGGTAAGTCCTGAATTCATCAAATGAATGCAGAATCATTTATTTATTAATGCCAGTATACTTTATAATACAAATAAGGTAATCTAAAATAGAAGAGATACTGTTTAGAGTGTTTTAAATTTAATCTTTTGTTGTAAAGCCAGAGGTTAAAGTAAATTAGAAAAATGAGTCATTTAAACCATCAGAGTATTTGATCAAAATTTTACAAACTGTGACTTTCATATACTGGTTCACCCCCAAGTCAACTGGCCCTTAAGTCTAAGATGCCAGGAAATGTGTAACCTCCTGTCGATAGGAACAACCCACTATAGGGATGTTTCTCGTGGAAAAAGGAAATTTCTTTTGCATTGATTTCAGACCTAACTGGTTACAAGAAAACCAAAGGCCATTGTACAATGCTAAAGTGTCTTTTCAAATTAAAACTTTAAAACTGTTAAGATTCAACATTTATTTTAAAATACAATGGTGCCTCAGTTCATGAACTTGATTCTTTCCATGATTTTGGTTGTAGACTTGGACGAGAATCAAATCAAATTCAATGGTTAGGTTCAATGTTGACCTTATGGGGAAATTTGATTCTGTTCTCGTCCAGTTCAGTTTGCAACCAAAATTGTAGGGAGAACTGAGTTTGTGAACCGAGGTACCACTGTATAGATAAATTAGAAAGCAAATATTTCATAGTGATTTGTTTTTGTGACCTACAGATACTTTCCACAGAAAATCACAAACAAGGGATATTTACCATGAATATTTACATAAAAAGATGGTATTCTTAAAATCTTTCATAGGTTAAAGTTCTGTACACTCTAACCTACCATAGATTCTACGATCGAAGTGAATAAGTTACTTTGTAAAAAATAAAAGATGATGGTAGAAAAGAGGCAAGGAAGAAACCTACAAAAAACATATAAAAACATACAAACATACAAAACATATAAAAACAGAACTTGTACCTCAGATGATACTGGAGATTGTGGTGACATATTAGCATTGTCACTGTCTTGCTAAAATACAAAAATAAAAAGATGAAAGGTGAAATTAAAATAGAAAATGATTTAAACATATACTGTAAAAGGAAAACTGAAAATTGTTTTGATCAATTGCTAAAGAAAGGAATCTAGAATATGCTTCTAGCATTCTGGGACTCAAAATGTGATCTGTGAACCAACAGCATAGGCATCTCCTGGGAGTTTGTTCAAAATACAGAATCTCAGGTCCCAACCAAAAATCATAATCTATATAAGATTCTGAAGAGATCCTTGAGTATTTTAAAGTTTGAGAAATACTATCTATATACAATAGCAGTGATGTTACAATCTGAGACATGTAAGTGAAGGGATACAAAAATTCCATTACCCCCAATAAGAACTTTTATCAGAAAAATTATGTGAATCAATATAAACTTAGAAATAATTAACTTGAAAAAAACATTAAATGAACCATAATTTTTGAATGACTAGTCTACTGCCAACCAAATACAAAAATCTTGACATTTAACCTGGATATGCACACCGTATTGAACATTTATTCATTCAACAAATAATTATTGGCCACCCACTATACATCAGACACTATGCAAAATACTGGGAGTAGTGAAATTTAGTAAAGTATCATCCTTCAAGAATCTCTTAGTCATGAGGGAAAACAGATCCATGTGTACTGATAATAAAACATTCTCACTCTCTGATGGCATATTATGAGGCACAGATAAAGCCATGTTAGAGGATGGAGTGGGGAACAGGGGAGTATGAAAAAGGCAAGTTTCCTGAGGAAGTAAAAACTCAAGTGAAAGCTAAGTGCAGTAGTGCATGTCTATACTTCCAGCTATTCCAGAGGCTGGGGCAGAAGAATTTTTTGAGCCCAGGAGTTTGAGGGACAGTGTAATGAAACTCTGTCTCAAAAATAAAAACAAAAACAAAAAACAAAGCCTCAGTAAAAAACTGAGTGTTTACCAGAAATAGATGTGAGAGGATAATAACAAAGACACAAAAACAAAAACTGGAAAGACGAAGACAGAAAGAGAATCTTTGAGTAGTTCTTTATTCTAGAGAGTAAGGTGAAAGGAAGGAAACCTGTGAGTTGAGACTGATGTGCTAAGCAGGGCCTTGATAAAAAAAGACACAGAATTTACCTTTTAAGTTATAGGGAGAAACTGAAGATTTCTGAGCAAGTGAATGGCCCACTTACATGTGTGGTCCTTGAAACAACCTTTCTAGCTGCAGTGAAAATGGATCAGAGAAAGGAAGAAAAGCAAGGAAGCTACCACAGCAACCCAGGCAAGAAATGATAGAAAGGAAGGTAGAGAATGTATGCAAAATAATTTCGTTCCAGTAAATAAATAAACAAATCAGTAGGTCTTGGTGATGGATTAGATATTGAGGCAGACAGGACAAAAATGAATATAAGAGGACAGCAGGAGCAGCCAAGTTGAACTCTAGCTCGGTATTCAGTAAATGTTTTCTATAAAAGGCTAGAATAAATATTTTCAGTTTTGTGGCCCATATAGTCTCTGTGGCAACTACTCAACTCTGCCACTGTAATGCAAAAGCAATCATTGGTATGGCTCTTTCCCAATAAAACTTTATTTACAAACCCAGCCAGAGGGTTTCACCACCTCCTGCTTTAGCGGGATGATAGATGGTGATTCCACCAGTTCAAGTCTCAACCTTGACTGCACATTAAACTCACACGAGAAATTCTAAACAGTTCGTTGTCCAAGCCACTCGACATTATTCCAGGGCCAACTAAATCTGAGTATTTGGGATGACATACAAGCACCTGTACTCTTTAAAGCTCACAGGTGAATTTAAAATGTAGTTAAGGTTGAAAACCACTGCACCAACTGAAAAAGTGTGTTTAGAAGTAAAAATGAGAAAAACAAATGAACATACTGAGCCCTAGGTGGGTGTATGAGATATATCCAGCAGAGATTCGAAGCAGGTAGTGAGAGAGGAGATCACCCCTCCATATAGAATTGGACAACTATGAGTTAACTGTGTTATTAGACAACTATGGGTTAATTGTGTTATTAGGCAATTATGGGTTAACTAGGTAACTATGCTTTTTGTAGAATGTACCTGAGTAGCCATGACAACTTCTGTAATCTGTCACCAAAGGAGCATAACGGACTCAGAAAGTCCTGCCAGAAATCTTTGCTCTCCCCCTCTTCACTGCTCTGCTTTGTGTAAATCCTGCTTGCCATATTCTGAGGGAAACTCCAATGGAATTAACCCTTGTAGATGTAAAAAGAGGTATATAAGGAAGTGCAAATTTCTGTTCAGGGCTCTGGAGACTGATAAGAGTCACTTGCTGAGCTGCCAGCATCATTAAAAACCACTTTTTGCTCCTATCTTTGTGTTAAAGAATTATCTGTTCTGGGGTCCTCACTCTTTCCTACTTCAGTAGGAGATGGATATATTACAAGGGCTTGAGGCTCAGAGGAGAAGTCTGGACTAGAAATAAAATTGAGAGGTAGCAGCAGGTACACAAGTGTTATTCATAGAAATCTTGCCAAGCTCATAAAGTTACCCTAGAGACAATACAGTGGGCTATCACTTGGGGAACACTTATAGTTAAGGGGAAAACAGATTTGCAGATCTAATGCAATGGAAAGCAAGGGTCAAGTATATGGAAATTGACTGTGTTCAAAAACTAGGTAAATATTACCACACATATACCCACACAAAACATGCCATTCAGGCTTAACCATAGATACCAACAGTAAAAAGAAAGCCAGCTTTGGCATAACTGTCATTTTTTTATCCCAGTAAATCCTACTGGGATAAAGCACATGGAGAAATATAGGCATTTGAACTGAAGAAAAAGAAATCACCTAGTTCTATGCATTATTTTTTGTGTGATTTTATTTACTAAAAATAAAGGCATTTTCAGAAGTCCTGCAAAGTATCCAATATCAAATTAACTACCAATTTCCTCAACCAAAAAATACACAAAATTTAGGTATTTATAGTGATGAGAATGTATCATTTCAAAAATGCTAGTCTGCTACACAGCTTAACCTGGTACAATAAAGAAGTTTATGGTAATGTATCAATTACATACACGTAATTAAAAATTTTTAAATACTGAACAGAATTTGTGCAAAGAATTTGTAAAAGGAGTTTCTAAAAAAATCTCAACTGACTACCAGAATGTTTTAAGAAGCTAAAAGATGGGAAAAGTTAGCAAATTTAAATTGATGGATTACAGGCCTAAGACAAATGATAATAAAATTCTAAAACTAATCTATTAGAAATTCTCTTCCACAAGACATACAGAAATTATATGATTAGATTAATAATTGTATGATAATGCCCAGAAATTTTTATTAGAGAAAGCCATGCACTAAATCCATAACAATGACACTAAAAGATGAACTATATTTAACTGAGCCAATTAAACATGAAAACTGAAAATTTCAAATAATTATTAATATTACTCTTTTTCTCACCTCATCATTTTCATTGCCACTTGAACTCTTCCTCATTGATTTGTACTGAAAAATATTGAAAACACATACTTTATTTTTTTGAACACTGTCTACTAGCAAATTACATGTGAAGTTTATTTATATTTTGGCAACTTTATTAAATTATCTGATATTAAACTTAACATATAACCAGTTGAAACAGTTATACTACTAATACAAATAATGCTTTCTATGTACAAAAGTACTGTTTTAAGTATTTTCAACATATCAAGTAAAATTTCCTTCCTAAGCCCATCCCATCTCTCATTCCCATTTCCCATTCTTTCAGGTTTGTGACCTGCGGATTGTGTTCTTTCTTAATTCACTATATCCAGTATGTCTTCAAGTCAATTCGTTTACGATCTTTTTCTTACTTACCTTTTCTGAATTCTTACAATTATCATCCTATCCCAGGCCCTCATTATCTCTCAGCTGGTCTGTAATCTCACTTTTCTAAGGTGTCACTTATTATTAAGAAATCTACTGATTTCTGGTTTTAAAAGAACACTACATTAAACGTACATACTGATTATATAATAATAGTAATAACGATAATAGCTAACACAGTAGTGTTTACTGCATACCAGTACTGATTCAAGTGGCTTATATGCATTAACCATTTAATCTCCATAACAATCTTACAAGGTAGGTCTATTAACCCTGTTTCACAATGACATACAAAGATAATATACTCAATATAAAAAACAATAGCATGTGAAAAAAATATTAGCATGTGTCAAAACACTTCTTAGAATCAAGTAAATACAGTATGATAACCACTGGAGTTCTGATTCCTCCTCACTGGAAATGATTCTGCAAACCAATGGTAGATTGTGCTTCTTCTTGCAACTCATGACTGTCCTACTGAAAAACTCATAATTTTTAGATTACATCCAAACATTTTCACCTGATATTCAAGGTTTTATTTAATGGTCCCCTTACTTATGCAGCATTATCTTCCATAATTCTTGGAAAAATAATCTACCTAATATCTTAACCACACACTGGGGATTAAACTGTACTAGGAATTACAAATATAAGACATATGTTCCTCTACTGTCTCTCCTTTGACAACTGTAACTAAAGTTTCCAGCCAATTCCAGAAACAGCTTCAATATACTTTCAACCCAGTGTATCAGAAAGCCACTGAATGAAGTTGGCATGAGAGAAAAAAAAAAAGCATCTAGGCAAGATGCTTGCTAGAGTCAATTATTTTTGGTTCTATTCCACTCTGATGAAACAGTGACATTTGAGTGAACAATAATATGCTAGTACTTATTAAATGATTATGCCATTGCAACTGTTGTTTAAGCATTGTATGTCATTAAATAATTTGGTAGTTATAACAGTCTTATAAGAGAAAGTCCTATTAGACTCATTTATAGATTGCAAAAAGTAATAAGCTTAGCAAGATTACATGACTTGCCAGAATCACATAGTAAGTATTCAAGTAAGAGCTAAGTGATTTGAGTCTAAAAGCTCAAGCAATATGCTATACTCTGATGTCTAAATCTTGAATGATTACTAGGAATATGCCAGGAATAAAAGGGTTAATAGGCAGTCTCAGAAAAGGGAAGCAAAGAAATAAAAAAGCACAGCCTACGTGGAAAACATAGAGTAGGTCGGTGAGGGTGGTGAGGAGAATGAATTGTGGTAGATAATGAAATGTAGAGAAGAAATAAGGAATGGTCCACAAAATTTTGAGAAGTCCAGATTTTATCTTATTGGTAACAGAGAGTCATAAAGAAATTTATGCCAGGGGTTGCTCCAAGGGATTTATGAAAGGGGAACTATTAAGAAAATATTACTAATAGTTTCTCTAGTGTGAGAAACTGAAAGTGTAAATAAGGACTAAAATGTATAATAGATAATATGAAATAGGAAGAAAAGGTGCAAAGGGGAAGGGAAAGTGGGAGGGGTAGGGGAAAAGAAAGAAGTGAATGGAATTAATATGAGAAAAAGAAAAAATGGAAACAAAGTCTTTGTAAATAGGCAGGGGAGGAGGGGTTGAAGGGAGGGCAGGGGAATGGGGAAAAAATAAGAACCAAGATGGATTATGTAAAGGTGCAAATTTCCAACGATGAATGTCATTATATTGTATACCTTAAATGTACCAATAAAATTAATTAAAAAAAGAAAGTATTACTATTGTCCAGACAAGAAAGTGTAAGTGTTCCAACAAAGATAAAGGCAGTAGAGGTAGAGGTGAATAGGAAAAGGGATACATGTTATTAGCAGTGACAATGACTAGGATAATCTTACTGTAAACTTGATTGGATTATGAGACTCCTATGGAGGTGGTTTGATTGTGAGGGTGCTAACCTTGAATCTTCAATGAATTAACCTACTGATAAGTTCAAGGTTGAATGCGCTAATGGGAGGTGGAACTTACTGGGATCATGCTTTTGAAGGCTGTATTTTTTCTCTGGCTTGTTGTGCTCACTGCTTCCTGGGTGCTATGAATTAAGCAGCTTTCCTCTGCCATGCCTTTCCAACTATAAAATTTCTGCCTTATCAGAAGCCTAAAAGCAGTGGAGCCCAGCTGACTAAGGACTGAAACCATGAGCCAAAATAAATGTTTCCTCCTCTAAGTTGACTTTCTCAGGTACTTGGTAAGTGACAAAAAGCTGATTAATACAGTGACGAACTAGATATAAAGAATGAGAGGGAAAGAATAAAAGAGGACTGAAGTATGGAGCTTAGGCAACGGAGGAGACATCACTACTACTGACTAAAATAAACAGAGGAGGAGAGAGTTTGATCCTATGGGGTGGGGAGAAGAGACATGTTAAATTTAAAATACATGTAAGGCATCCAGACAATTAGAAACACGGGTTTAGAGAACAGATGTTATGGGATGTAAATTTAGATTCAGTAGAATATGAGAAATATCTGGAGTCATTAACACTCCAGAGAAAGCTTTTAGAGCAATAAAGAGGACAAGACTCTAACAGCAAGCACCCTCCGCTTCTTCCTGGGAAGCGCCTTTTGCATGCTAGGCAAATATTCTACCACTGAGATTCATCCCTGGCCCTGCTGTGGCTATAAGGACACTAAATTTTATATGCTAGAGTAATAATGTTCACAATAGCGGCTTGGGAATCTAAAAGTGTTAATGTAATTCTCCTACCATGATTTATTTACTGAAATAATCTGACCCAATTTATCTTCTTGCTTACATATTCAGGCCAATAGGCTAACATGTTTTTACTTAGATTCAGAGGCTTACCTAAAAGAAAAAAATACTACTCTTGATTAGTCTTGGCAACTGAAAATTAAAAATGAAGAGCTGAATTTCACACACACAGACACACACACACACACACACACACGTATATATATACAAACACTTTTAGTAGATGTATTGGAAAACAGCTTACAAATAATTTACCATGGGACAGAAATAAAGAAATGTTGTGGCTTAGTCATTTATGTATGTTAGGATAAAGCTGCACAAAAGCTTTTCATGTTTCATAATGCAGCAACCTGAAGGAACCATCATTGTCCATCAATAACTTGGTATAAACCTCCTTAGTTATGTATTTTACTCTTTAATGAACTGCAGATCCAGATTAGGTTCAGCAACAGACCCTATAAATAACTTTTTTGATTCTCTGGAGATCTGTGATTAAATTTTTTTTATATCTTTGAAAGACACTTCCTGAGGACCTGTGGAACAGATTGGAAGATGCAGAAACAACTCCAAACACACTCAGCCACCTTATCTTTGACAAAGGAGCCAAACACCTTCACTGGAAGAAGATAGCCTCATTAATAAACGGCACTAGTAAAACTGGCTTTCCACATGCCAAAGACTAAAACTAGACCCATATCTTTCACCATGCTCTAAACTAAAATCAAAATGGATCAAAGATCTAAATATTAAAACAGAAACAATGCTGGAAGATTCAAGAGGTACAACTCTTGAAGATACTGATGTAGGCAAAGACTTCATGAACAAAACCCTGATCACACAGGAAATATCACAAAGAATCAACAACTGGCATCTCATCTTATTAAAAAGCTTTTGCACCTCAAAAGAAACCACCAACAGAGTGAAGAAACAACTCACAGTGTGGGAAAAAATTTTTTGCCAGCTGTTCCTCAGACAAAGGACTAATATCTAGAATATACAAAGAACTCAAAATAGTCAGATCCCTCAAATTTAAAGACCCAATCCAAAATTGGGCATCTGAAATGAATAGACACTTTGTAGATGAAGAAGTAGAAATGGCAAATAAATATATGAAAAAATGTTCAACATCACTGGTCACTTGAGAGATACAAATTAAAACAATGCTGAGATTCCATCTCACTCTAGAAAGAATGGCTATTATCAAGAAATCAGCCAGTAACAAATGCTGGTGGGGCTGTGGGGAAAAAGGAACCCTGCTCCACTCTTGGTGGGAATGTAGACTGGTGCAACCAATGTGGAAATCAGTGTGGAGATTCCTCAAAAAAACTAAAATTAGAGGTTCTGTTCAACCCAGCTATTCCCCTTCTTGGTGTCTTCCCAAAAGAATTAAAAGCATCATACCACAGCAATATATGCACACCCATGCTTATAGTGCATAGTTTGTAAGAGCTAAATCTTGGAAACAGCCCAAATGCCCATCAACCGACAAATGCATAAGGAAGATGTGGGGTTTTTATACAATGGAGTACTACTCTGCCATAAAGAAGGATACATTTGAGACATTTCTAGCTAAATGGATTCACCTCGAGACCATACTCTTAAGTGAAATAAACTGGACACACATGTTTAAATACCACATTGTTTCTCTGGTGTGAGAAATAGAAAGTGGAATTAAAGTCCAAAATGTATAATAGATATTGGGAAATGAGAAGAGGAAAAATGAGAAGAGGAAAAAGGGAAGGGGTAGAGGGAAAGGAAAGAAGGGACAAGAAAACATTAGAGAACAGAAGGAAAAAGATGGAAACAAAGATTTTGTAAATAAGGAGAAGTGGGGCGGAAGGGAGGTGGGAAACAGGAAAAAAGAAGCAGCAAGATATATCATGTTCAGGTACAAATTCCCTATGATGAATGTCATCATTATGTATATTAAAATGTACCAATAAATCTTTTGCTTCAAAAAAAGAGAAAGATACTTCTTAGAAACTCATGAATGATATTTTAATCATGAAAATACTGGCAATTCTGAATTATGGTTCAGATTTAATTTAGAAAGTAGTATCTTAGTGCCAAGCACATGGTCTACCACTGAGCTACTCCTTCGGCCTCACTGCATTTATATTTTCTTGACATCATAGGGTAAAACTGTTGATGTAGTTCATATTTTCCACAGTGTACTAACACTGACATCTTCTGACAATTGAGGAGAACTACACATCTTAAAATGCCCAGTGATTGAAGCTTATGTTTGCACCTACTTTATCAATTTTACTGAATGATTATGTAATGAGAACTTCAAATATTATCCCATTTGATCTCTTAACAACTTCATAACATAAGCAACATGGTACAAGAAATGTGTTAAGCCATAAAAAGTAAAATATCAATAAATGATGCTATTAAACAAAAATTATCTATTTTTGAGAAGCTATTTTTAAACAATGAAATTGTATTCATTTTAAAGTATTTGTTCATTTGATATTAGGCTATCTACAGTAGATGAAGAAGCATAACATAAGCTCTGAGTTCAAATCTTACTTCTGCCTATTAGCTAAGTAAGCATCCTACTTAGCCAATCTTGTCTCAATTGGTCCATTGATAAAACAGAAATGGTAATAACTGTATTTACTTCATAAGGTTATTCTGAAGATTAAGTGAGTTGATTGTTTGTAAAGCACTTAGAAAAGTGCCTGACAGTACTTGCCATATAAGTGCTTTGATAAATAGAATTGTATGGTTTGATTATATTAGGATTAAGGAGATCAAATGAACATTAAATCTTTTATTATTCAGAAATACCGAAATTTCCCCCACATCGTCAGTCATTTATCAACTTTTATCTATAAACAAATTTTATTCAGTGCCTTGGTTCAAGGTCCATGAGCAAAAAAAAAAAAAAAGAACCAAAAAACATTAAGTTCAGATCTGTAAAATGTTAGAATAAATTAGGCTTTTAGGATTGCTGATGAGGGTTCTTAAAACAGCCTATTTTTTCTTCATTTTAAAAATTTCTTTATTATCTTTCATACTGGCCAATTAACATAAGGCCTATTAAAAGGGCTCAATGATATACTGACTTAAACTCTTCACAGATTTGCTAAGACATATAATTATTTTTTTATGGTCTTACAATACTACTTTCAAATACATGTTATGTTCCCACATATGGAAAGAGATGAATGTACATTGAGATGGGTATTTGTACCAAACAGAAAAATAGGAAATAAACTTTTAATTTACATCATTATTTATTAGTGATATTAAACTAGATATTAATTATAATTTAGCAAAATACTATATGTTTAGATAAAATTATTATTAGACAAGAATTATACTTTGGAAAATAGAAAAGGTACAAAGGCAACAAAATTTGCTACTTACAGAGCAGTAACAAGTTTGTACTGTTCATTCAAGTCAATGCCAAAAATGGCTTCTGTTCAGTATTGAAAACCAAGATAAACATACTTACTATTTTCAGTTAGAGAGTTATACCTTATCAACTTAAAACTGATAAAATCCAAATTAATAAAAAATAAATTTTAACTCTTAAAAAAGTACCTTGAAATATTCTTTTCTAATCTGCTTGCTCCGTCTCCTCTCTTCACTTTGCCAAATTATAGGTTGAGATTCTGGCCACTGGTGCTCATCTATTTGATCCTTCTGATTTTCAAATGGCTATAATGAGACAATTTCTTTTAACTAAACAAATAAGAACAAGATAGTGTATAAGGTAATAATTTCATTTCCTCTTACCTGCCATGCAAGCGGTGATGATGATGAATTAACTTCATCTGCTGAGACACTAAAAAAATTATAAAGATGCTTTAATAAGTCTTAAAACATTGAGAAAAATCCTTAGATATTATGAATTATCATAAAGTTGTCATTTTTGTAATCAGGGAAGCACTTTATCCATGCCTATACTTTGAACTAATAACGTAAAACTTAATGCTCACAAAAACATATTTAAATTAAGTTCCCAATAACTGTTGCTCCATAGGAAACACCAAAATGAACTTATTTTATATCAAGCTTGTGGATAGGATTACTCTAAGGATTTTGTAGAGGCCAGAAGAAGTATAACGTATAAAGTCATACAGTTAAAGGACAGACAGGATGTTTATTATATCAAAATAAATTATCAAAAACTAAAAAAAAAATTAACTAACAGTTTCTTTGGTCTAAATGCCAAAGAGCTCAGAAAAGTATTTCTCCTTTGCCTTCTGAATCACTGATTATGTGTTTCAGCATCTTCATTCTGGTACAACAGAAATTATGCAGGAAATTTTTTGCATCTGTTTTTTGTTGCTTGGATAAGGATGATTATGCAAGCTCTTAGATGGTAGATTTGAACAGGACTTCCACTGTAAAAAAAAATATAATCAAAAAGCACAGTAGAGCTGCAATTTTATAACATTTCTGTGGAACTTCTGTACAGTAAAATAAGAAAAAGACAAAAATTAGGAAAAAAAAATCAAATTTTCAAAATTCATAGAACACATGATTATATGAGAAAAAATCTATCATTATAAGAAGGTTACCAATTAAAGAAAATGTACAAAAGTTAACAGCTTTCTTATATATCAACCATCATGAGTTACACTGGAAAAATTCCATTCATAAAAGAAAGGAAAAGTGTGCCTGCCTTGCAGGCACAAGGTCCTGAGTTCAATCCCCAGTACCAAAAAAAAAGAAAGGAAAAGTATAAAGTACCTAGGCAGAAACTTAGCTACATATGTATAAGATCTACATTATAAAATTACAAATGTCTAATAAGAGATGAATAATTTTAATATTCTTGGATGGACAAAGTACTACAAGCACAACTTTTGTTTCAAATTATCATCTGAAATCAACTGTAATAATAAGTGGTTTTGGCTTACTTTAGAAATGTGATAGAAGAATTTCAAAATTAATTTGGAAGAATAGGTGATCAAAAAGAGAAAAGTTCTGGGCCTGTGATTTAGCTCAGTGGCACTGCACCTGCCTCGCAAGCGCAAGGTCCTGAGTTCCATCCCCGGTACCGGGAAAAAAAAAGTTATAAAATAAAAGAGATATGACTATCAGGTAATAAAATGTATTACATAAAGTTATAGTAATAACGGAGCTGGGGTGTAGCTCAGTGGTGGAGTGCTTGCCCTGCATACACAAGACCCTGGATTCCATCCCAAACATACATACATACATACATATAAACACAAATAAATAAATGCATTCACTTCAGAATCTATATTTTTTGATGGAAATGAAGAATACAATCAAAATGACTTATGATACCAGTGACATTTACAATCATTGCAGAAATGAAGGATTATATAACAAATACTATAGAGACAACTAGTTGCCTGCTTGTAAAATGTACAAAGAAAGAAAGACAAAGAGGGAGGAGATAAAATGAGAAAAGGTGAAAGGGAGAAAAACTAGATTTCTTTCCCACACCAAATATCAAAATGAATGGAATAAAAGATTTGTATGTAAATAAACATTCAATCAAAAAAGGACCTGAAAATTATGGGCAGTAGCTGGCCAGAGTGGTGAACACCTGTATTTGCAGCTACTTAAAAAACTGAGGCAGGAGAATCACTTGAGCCTAGGATTTCAAGACCAGCCTAGGCAACATAGTGAGACTTCATCTCAAAAAAAAAAAAAAAAAAAAAAGAAAGAAAGAAAAGAAAAGAAGAAAGAGGAAAAAAATATGTCGGCACCAATTTTTAAATGTTGGGGTGGAGAGAGCCTATGGTAGAAACCATCAAAACCAAACATTAACAAATCTAAGTACAGAAAATATAAAAGTCAGACAATAAGGTTGGGCATGTAACTCAGTGGTAGAGTGCTTGTTTAACATGTGTGAAAGCCAAGTTTCATCCCGAAGAGTGCAAACAAAAACAAAAGCAAAAACACCTAGATTTTGCTTCTGGCCACAACAGAGTAACAGTGACCAAACATTAAAAGAATGGACAAAATATATAAAAGTATACTTTCCAAAAGGCATGAAATATCAGGCAGAAAAAGAATACTATTCCTTAGAGATGGGTAACAAGCAAGGTGAACCCCATGATGTGGCCAAACTGCTGCATGGAGAGTTTCCATACCACAGCCATGGGAAGGAGAATTAAGGCAGAGCCCAGACAATCCCTCAATTTAAGAGACAGAACTAGGAGCAAAGGAGAAAAGGGTAGGATACACAGAACAGAATAACAAAGGAAAAGGTAATGCACAGAGAAAGAAGGTTATACAAAGGCTTCCTTCAACATTTCATCTGAGTCTTCATCACTAATATACCTCTATACAACGAAAGATGAACAGAAATAATCAGAAAATTAATATTTACTAAGCACTTAGATGCTAGGCACTAAGACTGATTTAAAATTTTACCCAAAGCCTCATAGCTAGTAAATGCTAAAGGAGGGACTCAGACCCAAATCTGCCTGACTTCAAGGGCCATGCTCTTTCAATTCTACCTGACTATCTTGCCAACTCATTTCTCCATAGTTCATCACAACTCCTGTATGCTTGTAATGACTCAGGCTCATGCTGATTGCTAGAAGTGCCTAGAGATCTTGGAGAGTAGCTCACCAGATCACTACTAGTATAAAGCTGTCCACATGTTTCAGGAAAACTGACCCCTCTTCTAAAATCAAGTAACCAGAATCTTTCCAGGTCATTCCTACAAGTCTGCATGTTGCCTAATGCCACCAACAGATAATCATTTACATTAATTGTGGATTTGCACATTCCAAAGCCCTATTTTAAAATACAAGGACCATGAGCCTGGCATGGTGGCCCATGCCTGCAATCCCAGCATTCTGGCAGGTTATTGCAAGAGGATCTCAAGTTCAAACCAAGCCTGAGCAACTTAGTAACTTAGCAAGACCTCATCTCAAATTAAAAACATGAGAAAGAACTTGATGTAGCTCACCGAGTGAACCCTGGATTCAACCCCTAGTACCGAAAATAAAATAAAGGAAAACTAGGACAATATTATAATAATTCAAATTAGAGATGGCTAGAAATAGAGTGGTAAGATTGAAACTGGTAAGACAAGATCAGATTCTGGAAATATTTTGAAGGTAGTCAACAAGATCTGCTAAGGGATTAGCCATGGAATATGAGAGAAAATGACAAACTAAGGATCACTAGGGTTTTTGAGCTTATTAACTAGAAGAATCAGGTTGATATAGTCTGAAATGGGGGAAAATTCTCAAGATTTAGGTTTGAGGGTATAACAAGGGAGATTAAGAGTGTGGTTTTGGCTGGGTGTGATGATACATGCCTATAATTCTGGCACTTGGGAAGCTGAGGCAGCAAGAATCTCCATGAGTTCAAGGCCAGCTTGAGCTACACAGTGAGTTTAGGTCCAGCCTGAATTACACAGCAAGATTCTGTCTAAAAAAAAAAAAAGGTGTGGTTTTGGAAAGTAAAATCTGACATGCCTGAGACAGGAGACCACTCCTCCATATAGAATTAGGCAACTATGGGTTAATTGTGTTATTAGACAACTACAGGTTAACTGTGTTATTAGGCAACTATGGGTTAACTAGGTAACTATGCTCTTTGTAGAATGTACCTGAGCAGCCATGACATCTCCTGTAATCTGTTATCAAAGGAGCATAATGGACTCAGAAAGTCCTGCCAGAACTCTTTGCTCTCCCCCTCTCCACTGCTCTTGCTTTGTGTAAATCCTGCTTGCTGTATTCCCAGGGAAACTCCAATGGAATTGAGCTTCATAGATGTAAAAAGAGGTATATAAGGAAGTGCAAACTTTTATTCAGGGCTCTTGAGACTGACAGGAGTTACCCACTGAGTCATCGGCATAAAAAGCAACTTTTTGCTCCTAACCTCATGTTAAAAGAGCTGTCTGGCCGAGGTGCTCACTCTTTCCTGCCACATGCTTATTACACACCTAAGTGGAAGTGCTGAGTAAACTACAGGGTATATACAACTCTGCAGTGTGTATGTATGAGCACACATACACATACACAAGTACAAATATTTGTGCACACATATAGAAAAAAAGTATGCTAAGGTTTGAATATAATCTGAGTGTGTTCCCCAAAGACTCGTGTGTGAAAAGCTTGATCCTCGGTGCAGCAGTGTTGAGGTTGTGAAATATTTTAAGAGGTGAAGCTTAGCTCAAAGTAACTAGATCATGGAGCATTGTCTTAATGTAGTTCTATGGGACCTTAGATCTCAAGGGAATGTGCTGCTATATAAAAAGTGAGCCTGCCTGTGCCTGACCCCTGAATCTGTCTGGCTTCCTATCTTCCATGTGATCTCTTTGGCAAATGCTCCTACCATTGTGATGCCATGTTATGAGGGCCTTAACAGAGCCAAACAGTAGCTAGCACCATGCTCCTAAACCTCCAAAACTGTAAGATAAGTAAATGTTTTTCTTAAAAATTACTCAGCCTCAGATAGTTTTTCATAGCAACATAAAACATATTATTACAAGATCTAAAAGGAAAAATACCAAAATAACATGACTTGTCAATTCCAGGGAGTAAGACAATAAGTGATTTTTTAATGTTTGCGAAATTTTCCAGTATTTCAACCATAAACTACATTACCCTTGTAATTACACAAAAAAAGAATTTTTGGTTTTGTTTTTAAAGAAGGAATTAAGTGATTATCTTGTAAAAAGAAAGTAATAGTTGTATAAAGGAAAAGCCAGGATTGAATATCATAGCTCTGAAGTTTAGGCAATTGGGGTTTTCTCAAGAGAAAGGAACTTAGGGAGAAAGCTTAAGGTGAAAGTGAAAGGAATTGAAAGGAAAGGAAATAACAGGAGCTTTAAAGAAAGCTAAAATTTGAGATGGCAGAATTAGTAATCAAAAGGAGAAACTGGGTTAAATCTAATTAAGTAAAATTTGAAATAGGGAATACAGGTAAAACTCAGTGTTGGAGGGCATGCTTAGTATGTATTTATAAGGCCCTGAGTTTGACCCTCAACACCAAAGAAAGCTGGGGGAAGTGCTGGTAGGAATGTGGCTCAGTGGTAGTGGTTGAGAGAGAGACTGAGCCAGAGAGAGAGAGAGAGAGAGAGAGAGAGTGAGAGAGAGAGAGAGGAGGAAAGGACAGACAAGAAAGAGACAGAATAGAGACCGGGGGGGGGGGGCAGCGCAGGCAGCCATAGTCCTATTCATCTCACGCCTGAACTGAATTCTGAAAGACTAAGTAAAGAAAGGAAGCAGTGGTGGCAATCTTAGCAGAGACCAGGACATAGAACACAGAGATATGAAATCATGCTAGAATAAAGAAAAGAAGTTCTGTTCTAAACTCAAAGGGTGCCAGTGGAGGTGTACAAGAGATGAGGTTATTATATGAAGTTGGAAGTAGGCAGAAACCCACTTAAACTGTAAATGGTGTAAGTGAAGCACTTTAAGCTTTATCATGAAAGTTATAAAGAGCCATTAGAAAATAATAAATGGCAGTTGTACTGTCAGACTTGTGCTTTAGAAAATAACACTTCATAATACACAAGACAGATTTAAAGCTAGGCAAAAATAAAGAAATAGTTATGTGTGCATACTGTTGCAGTAACCTAGGTAGAAAATGATGGGGCCTAAACCAACACAACTCCAATAGGAATAGAGAGGTTGGGTAGGTGCAAATAATGTTAAGAAGCTATAATTTTTCCATGATTGGCTGGATTGAGAGAGGTGCATAAGGTAGAGAAGTTTGCAATGATTTCAAAATTGCTGACTTGAGTAATTATTAAATAGTGGCACCTTCACTTGGATAGACTATATAGGAGAAGAAACTGTTTTGGGGAAAAATAAGTTCCATTTGGACTGTGGGCTATCTAGAAAAAGATAGCCAGTGGGATGTGTGGATCTCGAGGAAGCAAAGTGTTCTTGTTACCATATGGTAAGACTTGGGCTCTGGTTTCAGATAAACCGAGATTTGAATCCAGGATTTATTCTTTACTAGCTATGTGATCTTGAGCAACTTCTGATCGTTTCTGAATCTGTTTGCTCATCTGTAAAATGCAAATACAGTGGTACCTCAATTCACAAGCTTAATTCTTTCCACAATTCATGTGGGTGGCAAACTGAATTGGACAAGAACTGAATCAAATTTCCCTGTAAGGTCATCATTGAACCATCAATGAATTTGATTCGGTTCTCATCCAATTTGGTTTGCGACTAGAATTGTGGAAAGAATTAAGTTCGTGAATTGAGGTACCAGCATATCAATACTAACAACTTCATAATGTTACTGTGAGGCTAAAAAGAGAGTGCATCTGAAGCACTAAGAACAGTATACATGCAACAGGCATCCACCAAATCCAGAAATAATAAATCTGTGTGGACTTCTGTAGGGCTCCCTAGCCTTGGAACCTTACACTCCAACAGGATTGACTCAAGAGTTGAGTTGACTATAAATTTTCAAACCACCAAAAAGAATAAATAGAAACTGTCAAGGTCTTCTAGTTCTCTGGAATTCACGCATGTGGACATAGATCATGTATTCATAGAGAAAGAAATAAAATGTATAGAGTAACTGAAAATAAAACACAATGATGTAGAAACACATTATTCTTGTCCATAGTCACAATATGATAAATGCTGAATGAATGAATGATTCTATCATAAAGACAAACTGCAAGTATACACAAAAGACCCTGAATCAGGATTTCTGGTTTTGTTCATATCAAAAATAAATTTAACTCATGCTGTGACACATTTCCCCTTTAAATTATTTAGTTATATTACATCTATATCATTTTCACTAAAGCCTATACACAGAAACATCATTATCAAAAATCAAGTCTCATTATGAAATAGTAAATATATAAGGACTAAGATATTTTTATACCTCTTTTCACATTCCACAGTTTGTTCCAGCTTGTTTCTTATGACAGAAGTTGAATGATTAAGAATCCTAGAAGTAAATCAACACATTAATTCCAAAATATAGTAAAGTGATTGCTTCATATAAATGATATAAAATATCTCCAAATAAACTGCATCTATCCATGAAAATATTTGCTAGAAAACAATGTTTAAAATGTAACTTATGAAAGAATGAATTTTATGAACTTTTCCTCGGATCTTCCTTTATAAATCCTTTCTCAAGGTTTGGAAACTTTCTGGCCACGCTATTATTGCCTTTTGGCTGAGACAGATTTACACAGAGATTTTTTAAGATACCACTATTACTTATTTTGTTTCCTAGCATAGCAAATGGTATGAGCTATGCTGATGTAACATAATCATTTTGTCAAAAGGCAAATAATAAACTTTAATTCTAAATGAAAAACCGGAGCTAAAGTTCAATTTCATTACAAAAACAAGCTCCTTAAACTTTAAATAGCCAAATGAAACTATATTTTGAAGAAAATCACAAAAAATAGCAAAAATTTAAAATTATGAACCATTTTAAGATAGTTATTTGTCCATGACTTTATCTAATTCTAAATATTAATCTCAAAGTCAAAAGTATTGAATTAACTTTCTTAAACGTAAGTAATTATACATAGTTAAAAGTTCTTAATATTACTATAGATATAAATGTAACTTAATTTAATTTTGAAATTTAGTATTATAAAGGAGTGAAATCTTTTTACTCAGAGCAAAACCTGCCTTTTACTCAAAATAAAATCTTGTAATGTCAACTATCAAAAGAATTCAGTAAAACATGTCAGACTAAAGCTATATACGCAAAGGATTAAATATAAGTTGGTAATTACAGAAATATGGTGAGCATTAAAAAATCCATCTCCATCATGCTGGTTGTCTCATTCACTATCTTGGGTCTAGTAGAGCTTCATTAGAAGGAAGACACAGTAAAGCGCAGAAGAACAAGTATTACATGCAAATCACGGTACTGGCCTAAATAATCTCAGAATGAAGGATATGTTTATCCTTCTTTGTAAGGGAATACACTAAAATTTTCTTAAATCTCCAAATGCAGAAGAATAATGGAAATGGAATCTCTAAGACTATTAGGAAATACTATAAAGAGTGATTTTAAAATAGAAGATATGGCAATAAGCACTATCTTGGGGGATATATCAGAATTTTTGAGAGAGGAAAAGTGCTCAAACTACAATTCCCTTTACTACAGTGTGTTCCCTCCCCATACCATATTTAACTAGGGTCATGATGACTGGTGCATAAGGGGCATACTGGCGTAGAAAGAAAAAAGTTGAAATTCACCAACCTATAAAATATATTTGATGTATTTGATAATTCACCTATGTAAAGTTTTGCTATGTACAGTGATATTTTATGTTTTTACTCTGATAGCTAAACATCTGTTTTACCTAAATATCTATTCTAGACTATTAACACTCCCTAAACCAGTTCTCTATACTAATTTTAAATAAAAAATTATACAATTCAGTGGTACCAACCTAGCCCCTTAATATTTACGGCCTCCACCAACTCTGGATACCTTGATCTCTATCAGGCTGCCTTCATCCTTTGGAAGAGTTTATTACTGAGTGATGCCCCCAAACTTAAAGGCCTCCATCTATATTCATATTACTATACCAACCAAACAAAAAGATGTGAAAAGGCACATGCTTCTGGAGAGGACAAAGAAGTCATTGGTAGAGGAAGCAGAAAAGAGAGAATGGCTAGCTTTCAAGAGTTGAGAGAACTACCTATACAGTAATAACAAACTAGACATTAACACAGTGCTATTCAAATTAAAATGGTTCACATAACCACAAAAAAGTCACAAGAATAGATAATATACATAATTTCTATAATTCCAAACTAAATTTCTCGGAATCTTATTTTACTTTCCATAATCCTGAATTATTTAATTTCATAATTTTTTATTATTTAGCTATGTCACATAATACTCAGATACACATCCTTCTGCAATAAAGAAAAACCCTCAGGACACATCTAAAAGCAAATACAATAATTATTAAAAGAAAAGACATAACAGAAAATATTAGAAAGCAAGTTAGCAGAAATAAATACATAATGGGAATCAGTCAACTGAAGTTATCTACTGTAAAGGTCCAAATATATTTTACTCCATTCTTTAGGATGAAAACCAAACAAAGTTTAAGAAGCTAAATAAACACATGCTTATTAAACCAAAAGAGTAGTTGCCACTTTTCTAACATTAACAGTCTAATACTAATTTCTAATATTATCGTTTGAGTAGGACTGATAAAAATTTGGAGAACTGGTTCAATCATTTACAGACCATTATTTTGTTTTTCAAAAAAAATTCCCTTTCTTTTATTTTCAAATCAGTGTTAAGAATATTTTTTCTATCCCCAGCACTGTAAATAAATTTTTTGGTATTATTTTACTCTCATTGCATATTCACAGGAGCAATAAAGATTAGTTTTTAATAATTCAATAATAAAATTTCAATGCAAAGTAGTTTAGTCTTTTTTTTTCTTTTTTGAAACGGAATCTCACTATCTTGTTCAGGCTGGCCTCCAACTCTGGGGTGTAAGTGATTCTCCCACCTCACAGTAGCTGCAGCTAGGTTTATTCCTGCAACTCCATCCAGCTTCAAAGTACCTTAAACTATACATGCCAATCAGACAAAAAGTTAGTTTTCTGAATAACCAAAATTCAGCCTTCAAATTTTTAAGAGTTAACTACCTGATGGTTCGTCTGTTGATTTCCTTTTCCACCCTTTTGGATTAATTCTATGCATTGACTCTTGTTACTTTTCTAGAATAGTTTTATTCATCAAATAGTGATACAAACTTTCTTCAAGAATCAAGATATTTTAAAAAATAGTATGAACTAAACAAGTGGGAAATTGCTATAAAAAAGCATCGCTGAACTCAGCATAAAAGGTTACCTTTTGTTTTGGAGAATATACATGGCTTCTTTTAGCTTAGCGTGAACAATGCATTTACTTTCAACCAGTACCAAACTAACGAACCTTTAGTATACAAAGTAGCAGTCCTGGGGGTATTTCCTCATATGCTAGGGTAACCTTATTCCAAATAAATTATTTTAATCAAGACTAACAAAAAACAATGACTGTGTTAAAACCCCAAAGTAGATACATTTCCTGGCTTATAATTTCAAATAGCATTTCAGTGCTCCATTCAGCAGCACAGATACTAAGCAGCATTTCAGGGCCTTCATTAATAAAGTTGGAATATAAAATAAAATAATACACTGAAAAAGAAAAAAACACAGAGGTGTATAAATTATATCAAATCCACTGAAGGATATATAGGATTATATGTAATCTTTATGTAGGATTACTCTTAGATATTTTTGGTATCATTCAAATTCAACTATTATGACAATAAACAAAAATTACATCTAAGAGATTTGAGCAATAGTAATATATTTTAAAGGGAAGAAAGAGATCAATTAATGGAAAAAAATTAGGTTCAGCATTAAAAAATTGTGAGATCCAGTTACACATGGTGGTGCACACTTATAATCATACCAACTCTGGGGACTGAGGCACAAGAATGGCAAATCCCATTCCAGCCTGGAAATTCTGTCTCAAAATTAAAAAATAAAAGCTTTGGGGATGCAGCTCAGTGATAGAGCAACCCTGGGTTCAATCCCTGGAATAAAAACAATAAAACAAATCTGAGATCTAGTTAAAGCTCAGTCATTAATAGAATTGAGGCCTTACCACCACTCCCAGCACCAAGAAGCAGAGCCACCCCCAGTGCTGAGGAAGAGCCTTCCAGGTCACCATACAACTGCCCCCAGCGCTGAGGAACAGAGTCACCTCCAGCACCAAGGAAGTGAGCTGCGTGGGTGCCAGCAGCACACCTTCCCACCAGTGAAATGAGAAGACACATAAACAAGTCTGAAAACCAGATTTCCAGATCACCTAAAGCAACCCCAAAAGGAAAGGAGAGGGAACAATCTGATATTCAACCACCTAGACTGCCTGAAATGGCAACAAAAGAAGATCTAGGAAAAAGGAACACAGAAATAATTTCTCAGAAAACAGCAGAGATTGTGCCCATAGTGCAAAACATGATTAACAAATCTAGAGAGGACACAGATAAAAAGATAGAGGAGCTGAGGAACATGATGGAATCCCAACATAGGAAACAAATGGAATCCATAAAACAGATGCAAATAGATTTCCAGGACTGGAAAAACTCCATTGAAAGTCTGCACAGCAGAATGAGCCAATGTGAGGACAGAATTTCAGATATAGAAGATAAGATTGCAATTAGTGTCCAGGAAAAGAAAACTTGCTTTAAAATTGTAAGGGACCACGAGAAATCAATCCAGCAGCTGCTACATTACACAAAGAAGAATAACATAAGACTGACTGGAGTCAATGAAGAAAGAGGAGAGAGTGCAGATGATATAAAAAAACTGTTCACAGAAGTGATGGCAGAAAACTTCCCAAGGAGGGGAAAAGAACAAGACATACAGATAAGTGAGGCATATAGGACTCCAACTAGCCTTGATCAAAAAAAATCTACACATAGGCATATAATAGTTAGGATTTCAGAATCCCAACAGAAGAATAAAATTCTACAAGCAGTGAGAGAAAAGAAACAAATCATATACAAAGGAAAGCCCATCAAAATCACAGCAGACTTCTCAACACAAACCCTCAAAGCAAGAAGAGCTTGGAGTGATGTATTTCAAACCCTAAAGGAAAACAGCCTCCAACCCAGATTGATGTACCCTTCAAAACTCTCTTTCAAAATTGATGGAGAAGTAAGATGCTTTCATGACAAAGAGCACCTTGGGAACTTCATGAATACCAAACCAGCACTCCAACAAATTTTAGACAGTAACTTAAGAAAAGACAACAAGGATCACAACCCCAGGAAGCCCAGCAGAATGAATCCATTCGGCACGACAAGAAATTAAACGCAGAGGGGTAGAATCCAACAAAAAGAAAAAGTCATTGCAAGGATAAGTCAATACATATCAAGTATAACCATCAATGTTAATGGC